GGGCTAAAAACTCACCATGCAGCGAAGATCCTCCATAGGGCGGCCATTTTCGGTGCCTGTATAGTGAGGAATCCGTCCCTAAGCACAGTGGGGAGCCATTTTGAGCACCCGGTGGCCATTTTGAAAATCCGACAATCAGCTGTTTTGATTGTTGTAATGCGAAGAATTGGTTCCCGAAGCAGGGAACTGATCTTCGCAAAGCGAAAAAACCCAATTTAGACCATTATTTTGCGATTGCAAAAACATCGTCGTGAAGCGGAGTCATTGTTAATGACTAACAACAGTTCTTTCAGGCTGCCGGTGGGAAATTTTCCTAGATGCTAGCCACTTGAGGCGAATGCAGTGCTTGAAGTGATATCACAACTTTCTTCCTCTTTCTTACTGAAGCCCTTTGTGACACTGAAAATATGCTCCAAAGGGTTTCTCAAATCTCCAAAGCAGATGTTTGGGAAATAAGGGAAGGGGGCATTGGGTTTATGCTGGCGATATTATCTTCAGATCTGATGCAGAACCATATTTTCTTCCTGACAAAACAGAAATGATCTTGTTTCATTTCTGTGAATACATTTTTTCTTATTAGCAAACTTCTAGTAAGATGTGGTGGCGCTGCAGGTTAAACCGCAGAAGCCTCTGTGCTGTAAGATCTGTAGATCTGCAGCTATAAGTTGGAATCCACACGACGGAGTGAGCGCCCGTCGCTTGTCCCAGCTCCCGCCAACCTAGCGGTTCGAAAGCATGCAAATGCGAGGAGATAAATAGGGACCACCTTGGTGGGAAGGTAACAGCGTTCCGTGTCTAAGTCGCACTGGCCATGTGACCACGGAAGATTGTCTTCGGACAAAAACGCTGGCTCTATGGCTTGGAAACGGGGATGAGCACCACCCCCTAGAGTCAAACACGACTGGACAAAAATTGTCAAGGGGAACCTTTACCTTTTAGTAAGAACAAAATAATGGACTACATATTAAAATGACGATCCCTCAAGCAAAGGATTCATAATTAGGGTTACAGAAAAATTGATCCTATCTATTGTCTACCTAAAACTGTCATTTTACTTAAATGAATTCTTTCAGGATGGGGGAGCTTGTCAATGGAATGGGAGGTAACCATAGAGACCAAATTTTTATCATTATTAAATGCTGGCCTGTCATCAGACACACCCAGGGTTGTTTAAAGAGGAATTTTCCTATCAGTTGTCAATTCCAGGACATGTAACAAAAATAAAGCAAATATTAATGAAACTCAGATATTTTAAGTCAGCCTTTGAGATCACCAGCACATGTATAAGTGTCATCAAGGACCTCCTGTCAAAGTTGTGGTGCACTGGGCAACCAGACCTGGTTCAATGCTGATGTAGCTGTGACTGCTATGTGATGTTTCCAGGAAAGGGCCCTAAGGATGAATCCCCCCCACCCAAGTTGTGCACTCAGTCACTAAGAGGAAGGGTAAATCTATCCAACACAGGGAGATAACCCTTGGTCAGGGTTCAGTAAACCACAGTTAACTTTTAATCATAGCTCTTGGTTCAGTATAATAAGCCAATGCCACTGCATAAAGAGATGTAGGAACTTGAAGGTAACAGATTGAAGTGTTATAACAATTTAATAAAAGGGCATGTTTAATTCACATTCACATGCTGATGTTGATGTATTTGACTCTTTTTGTATTGTATAAATGATGTGTTGATTATACTTTTGCTGTTGCTTTGTTCTGCTTAAATACTCTATAAAACACAGAGAGAAACCATGGTGATGTGAAAATGAAAGGGAACGTTTCTAATCTCTTCCTGAGTGTATTTCTTTTGGCTAGGAGGAGAGGAGAGGGAAGGAAGATGCACATAACCCCAGCCTCCTGCACAAATAGCTAAACTGGAGTTTTTGTGTTGTAGGTGAAATTAGTAGTCCTGACAGTTCTCACTTTCTGGAGGGGAAAATGATAGCCATTACTCTCCCCATATACCTCCCCACTAGGATAGTACAGTAGTTGATGGGCCAATTACCATTTTGACAAGGATTTGCCTCTGAGGGCCGTAATTAACCTCCAATCATCACTGTAGGATCCAGAGCTGGAAAATATTGCTTTTCTGGCCTTGCTGGGAGGATGCTTCTAGGAATTATAGTCCAAATGAATGAATGAATGAATGAATGAAATAAAAAAAATCTGCTTTGTAACTTATGCCATCTAAGGGTGATGTTGTCATCAGTTACAGAAATTTTTCAGAAATAAAAATTTTCTGATTCCTCACCCCGAAGGTTGCAAGGTTCCCATGGGATTCCTTTCATCATTTCCAAAAATTGCTGCCAGCAATCAAATTATCCTGGCAGTGATGATTTTCAGACATTAACAACTCCTCCCCATCTTGCAGCCACCAAGAGCTTCCCCAAGACAAAAGGGATCTCATGAGAGCCTTGCAAACTTCTTTGGGGAGGGGGAGAGGCTGGGAGTCAGAAGACTTTTATTTATGAGAAATCATTGGCTGATGACATCACCAGCTTTCAGTGGTATAAGTTACAGAACAGGATTTCAGCCCGTACTCTGCAGACTCAAACATCCATTTGTTGAAATAAAATAATTCTTCAATAAGAAAGGGAAACAGCTTGAGGTTGTTTTAAAATGGTTGTAGTGTTACTATGTTACAAAAGTTGGATTTAAAAATGGAATCAATAAATGACAGAAAAGTTCAGCACCTGCCTACCTTTTCCTTATTAATTATAGTCAATGTGGTACAACTTTTCAAGCCCACTGAAAGCTACATTCATGATCAATGAAACTGATACTTGATTATTTGGGTAACATACTTTTTAATTTTATTCTGGTATGGGAGCTCAAAAAAAGTAGGGGAGCATATGAAGAAACATGTAATCTGGAAAAGAACTAGATTTAATAGAGAAACCATTAGATATATCAATTATTCAGCAACTTGAAATTGCCAGCTGAGCTCACAGAATGTGCTGACTTATGCTAGCTATTCCAGTTATCTTTTAACTTGTGGAATGCGAACTGCATGGAGGAAAAAAAGCCATTAGTTGTGTGCAGATCAAAGTTTCATGGTACCCATATAGTGGGCTTTTTTAAAAAAAAAGAGTCTGGAGTTGTTTTTATGTCTAGAAATATAGAAAACACTTTCCTTTGAGTACCACCTACTTAATTTTTCTCCATTGTTATCCAAGGGTTTTTTGTGCTTCTTTTCCAATTGGTCTTATTTCTGTACTTTAATCAAACCTGTCTGCTGTATAGAAGATTTCCTCATATCCGCAGTTTCAGGCATCCACAGTAGATTGTGGAACTGATTCCCCACAGGTACAGTACTGTATTTCTGTCAGGAAGTCTGTAGTATGCAAGCAAACCTTGGTGTTTCTGACACCTGCTAATCTGGAGATCTTTCAGGAGAAACACAGAAATGAAAAGGGCTCCGGAGAAACTGAGTCTTGAGATATAGCCAATATATTATTTCAATTTGACAGTCACTAACATCTGGGCAAAAATGTATTTCCAGTTCTTACTGTTTTGGAGATATTTTGAGACCAAGCAACAAACAAATGGAGCTCTGCTGAACTGGTCATGAGAAATAACCCTCAGTTATTTAAGTGACAAATTCAATAATATCTGTGGAAATTTTCTTTTTTCTACTCTTACAATGCTGGAAATGTTTCAGAACACACACAAACTGTCAGAACCGTTTATGACTTAAGCTTCCATACTGGCAGTGTACTTAATTGCTTCTGATGAAGTGACTGCAGTCTGTGAAAACATATGTGAAATAACAATTGTCAGCCTTTTTTCCTGCAATAGTTTAATAGGGTTGCCACTGCCACCCTGAAAATTTCTTACCACTGTAATTCAGTAAAGTTGTTGGTCCTCACACTTCCTGCACATTAAGATAAGTCACACTGGATCTAACACAGAAAGTATGAGTAGAATAGTGTGTTTCTCCTCCATGTGATCTGAAGTGCCTGTGTGACAGAAGCAGCAATAATGGAAGTGTATTGTATTCATCTCTCTTAAAGCAACAGAAGCCCTACTGCTTTTATGAAAGTGTAGCCATAATTCAGTCCGGCGTTTGCTTCTTCAAATTGTGCACAGCCATGGGTCATAACACTAGTGTTGTCTTAGAACTGGCAGAAGTCTCATAGATATTAAGCCTGGTCGCTCAAAGTGCTTCAGATTTTGGTGATGTAACAACCTAAGATGGCTGCCTTCTTAGAAATTTCAGCTTTAGATGATAAAATGGAAAATAATTAGCAATGACAACACCCTGTTGTCTGATTGTTCGACTCTAAAAGCACCATTGGTTGCTTTGGACATGAATGAAGAAGAAGCAGATTTGTTCACCTTTTATTTTCGTTATGACCCTAGTGAAGTTCAGTCAATCCTCCTGGAAAAGGATTGGACAACTTAATAGGTCTCAGAATTATTTTGTGGTTCATTAAGAAGTTAGCATTCTGAAAGTAATGGATACATAGAATCAGAATTGTAGAGCTGCAAGGGACCCCAAGAGTCATCAGCTCCCTGCCAGCACAGGGAATTCACAGCTAAAGCATCCCTTATAGGTGGCCAGCCAATCTCAGCCAACTTCCATTTAAAAATCCTCAGCAAGGGTAAGCCCACCACCCTCCAAGGCAGCTGATTTTATTGTCAAATGGCTGTCACTGTTAGGAAGTTCTTGCTAATGTTTGGTCGAAATCTCCTTTTTCATAACTTGAATCCATTTCTTCTGGTCCAGTACTCCTGAGCTGAAAACAAAAAGTTTCCGCAATCTATGTAATATCCCTTCAAATACTTGAATTATTCTATCCCCTCTCTTTTCTTGACTAAACATAATCAGCTTCCTCAGCCATTCCTTATGAACTTCAACGGATATGACACAACTAAAAGAAGACCAGCAAATCAAGTGCAGACAAGGTTAAGATTCCTTTGCTGTTCTATCACAAAACTGGCAGTAATTCCAGTTCTGCTTAAATATCTCTTTTAAGAAACATGTTATGTTTGTTTTCTTACAGATGCCCTTCTATCTGAATGCTGTGATCTGCTGACAAAGACATGTCTGAGCAACCTTCAATTCCTTGAGGTAAATGTGTTTGATTTATTATTATTTTCACTAATGTTGCGACTTCAGTCTATTTACATTACTTAGAAAACAAGAATACAACATAGTATGGGGAAAAATAGGAAAGTGCTAGTGCTCCAAATATTGTTATACTCCAACTTCTGTTAGTTACAATCCCACAGGCAATGGTCAGGGATGATGGCGTTGTAGTCCGTCAACATTTGGAAGACTGCACGTCCCCACCTTTGTATGACTGGAGTTGTTGCTTCAAGCTGGAACTGACTTATAGTGACCCTAACAGGTTTTTCAAAGTAAGTGGGATATTTAAGGAGTGGCTTTACTAGTTCTACTCCTCCCAGTGAGTTTCCATGGTCAGGCAAGGATCTGAACCCTGCTGTCCAGAGTCCTAGTCCACCACTCTATCCATTACACCAGTGTTTCTTAACCTTTGTTACTCGGATGCTTTTGAACTGCAACTCCCAGAAACCCCAGTCAGGACAGCTGGTGGTGAAGGCTTCTGGGAGTTGCAGTCCAAAACTCCTGAGTAACCCAAGGTTAAGAACCAGTGCATTACACCACATTGGTATATTATTGGAGTATCTTATGCCAAAATATGTAACTGCTGCTGTACAGCACTGCATTTTAGTTCACAGCCATTGGCCATGGACCACAATCTGAAAATGGTCTCAGGGAAGGGCAGAGCATGGTATGATAGTGGAATGGGAATGGCCACAGTAACAGGCATAGCCAGGTGAAATTCCTACCCTACCAATTTTCTCACCAAGCATAACATGTGTACATCCTGTAAAATGCACATTTCACTTCCACACAATAGCTTACAACTTGCCTGTAGTTCTCAGTTTCATGGGGCAAAATGTAAAGCACCTGCAAAATGCACAGGTTTCTCCACAGGGGGTGCATTTTATATCTTTTAATCACCAAATTTAAAAGGAATTAAGCTGTGACTGGATGGAGAGTTCCTAGGGCTATATTTGTCAGAGTCCAAATATTCCCCATCCCTATATTTCAACCAGTATTGTTGTTTGCACATGTCTGTATTTATGTTCCTCCCAACAGAATTGTTTACTTAAAAGTCTACTGTTTCACTCATTCAGACTTTGCACTGTTTGCATCTTTCAGTATTGTTGTTTGCACACGTCTGTATTTAAGTTCCTCCCAACAGAATTGTTTAAAGTTTACTGTTTCGCTCATTCAGACTTTGCACTGTTTGCATCTTAACAAAGATGCATATAGGGAGATATGGTCCTCCAGGTAGCCTCAACCTAAGCTGTATAGGGCTTTATAGGTAATGACCAGCACTTGGAATTGGGCCTGGAAACGGACTGGTAGTCAGTGCAGTTCTTGTAAAAGATGCGTTATATGCTCTCTGTAGTCTGGCTGCAGAGTTTTGCACCAGCTGAAGTTTCCGAACCGTCTTCAAAGGCAGCCCCACACAGAGCGTATTACGGTAATCCAAATAGGATGTAACTAAGGCATGTGTCACTGTAGCCAGATCTGACATCTCAAGGAAAGGGCGCAGGTGGCACACCAGCTTTACCTGTACAAATGCACTCCTGGCATTGTCGAGAACTGGGCATCCAAGCTTAGGGATGAATCCAGGAGTTTATATATATATATACATACCACTCACTAGCTAGCAAAATGGGTTCTCTGTGCTCTCACTATGACCTAAAGATTGTATATGGGAAAATAAACACTCACCTCCTGTCCTTGAATGGATCAAGGATCTTGCAACTTATAAAGCTCCAGGAAATAAGCAAATTATTTAAATGCAGATAAGTACTGACAAAAATCGGAAAATGACCCAGTACAAAATTAACCACCACCCTCTCCCCCAAAAAGATGAAGAGAATGACCCAGTATAAAATTACTGTAACCACCACCCTCTCCCCCAAAAAGATGACTGGACATTACCACAATATATGCTTAAGAAACACATAAATTGAGTTGCCAGCAATTAGACAATTTACTTAGACTTGAACAAAAAAGGGGGTTCTGTGTATCCTACATGATTTTTCTATTGAATAAGTGGCCGTTTAATGTCCATGGATTCAGTAGGTATGGAAAGTTCGGCCACTTTCTATTTGAACATTAGGTTTTTTATGTTGGTTTTGTCTTAGAGATATGCTTTGGGCAAGAAATATGCAGGCCGTGATATAAAATTAGCATAAAATATCCTTGAAAAGGTATTGGTGCTGGTGACAGCGGCTACAGGACTTAAAAGGAAATCATACCCTGTTTATGCCCTATGATTGTTGTAGCTTGAGGTGAAGGGTTGAAGGGATGAATGAGAGGGATCTGAATGCAGTTCCGTCCTGAGACACATGTATCGAAATCCTTATGCAAGATAAGCAAATGTGTCAGGACCCCAGTCACTGTTCATTGCACTGTTCCGTCTTTGCTACACATCAGTGAATTTCTTTCTTTGGTATTCATGGATATTCTTTAACTTGGGTTACCAGTCCATTTGTAGGGTTACATCACTCCAGTGTGTGCACAAGCGAGTTGCTCCCCACCCAATGGAAAATATTTGCTTCTAAACACCAGCCAAATGTGGTATAGTGGCCGAGAGGCAAGCTTCCATGATTTTTGGCTAGCCACGTAGATGGCAAAGGTCAGAAATTCACTAGATTAGTAATAACACGGAGTGTTAAATTGGGCCATATATGTTGTGGCTTGTTTTAGGCAAATGGATGAAAATGACACCCAAAAGATTTTGATTTTCAAAAATCAAAATAGATATGGACACATATACCAAAAGTTTACAAAAGTTGCTTTTTCTGGATAACAACTAAATTGCTGATGGGGGCTGGTTACAGGGATCACATAACCCCCACCCCCCCCACCCCCATTATAGCAGCTCTACTGGTTGCTGATCTACTGCCAGGCACAATTCAAAGTGTTAGTGCTAACTTATAAAGCCCTAAATGGCATGGATCCAGGCTATCTCAATGACCATATGAGGCTGCTCCAGTGTTAAGATCATTAGGAGAGGCTTTTCTCTCGGTCCCACCACCCTCCCAGGTGTGATTGGTAGGGACACAGAAGGCGGCCTTCTCTGTTACTGCTCCCAGACTTTGGAACTCCCTTCCACAGGAGGCCACATTGGTCTCATCTTTCCTTTTACAAGTGTGCAAAATGCTTTCCCTTCATGCAAGCTTTCCCTCAGTAACTGGCTACATGACTGTTAGTTTTAAATAGATTGTTGTGCCTTGCTGATTTGAATGTGTGTTTTTTTAGTATTGCTGTTGTTTACTATTTTTCAGAGTGAAGTTTGTTTGTTCCTTTTTAATATTTGTATTCTTATTGTTTTGAATGATGTAATCTACCTTTGTATATTCATTCATTTTAGCTTTACATTTTTTTTAATGATGTAAGCTACTCTGGGTCCTTTTTAAGGAGAAAGGCGAGGTAAAAATATTTGAAATGAAATGAAATGAAATAGATAGATAGATAGATAGATAGATAGATAGATAGATAGATAGATAGATAGATAGATAGATAGATAGATAGATAGATAGATTGATTGATTGATTGATTGATTGATTGATTGATTGATTGATTGATTGATTCTGGGAGTTGTATTCCATATGTTTCCCAAATTCTGGGAGTTATACTCCATACCTTTCTCAAGCTCTACCCTGTCTTTACTTGATTTGAAAACATTTTTAAAATCTTCTTTTGAAATTCTTGGCAGGTGCTTTAAAAAAAGACTTGAGCAGGTAGCCTCAAATGTGCCTATAATTTTACTTTGGTTAAAGAGAGAGAAAGTGCCAACTGCTACCCTGTTTTCCCCAAAACAAGACAGGGTGTTATATTAATTTTTGCTCCAAAAATGAATTAGGGCTTATTTTCAGGGGATGCTTTATTTTTTCATGTACAACAATCTACATTTATTCAAACACAGTCATATCATCTTCTTCTGGTTGCTGCACAATGGTGGAGGGCAGGGTTTTACTTAACTGGGGCTTATTTTGTGGGTAGGGCTTATGTTATGAGCATCCCGAAAAATCATTCTAGGGCTATTTTCAGGTTAGGTCTTATTTTGGGGGAAACAGGATATATGTCATTGATCTGCAATGCCCAGCATTTCTTACTGTTGGGTGTAGTGGTGACAGTTGATGGGAGATGCAGTGCAAGAACACCTACAGTTTTTGCACACATGTTGCCTATTCCTGCTTTAGGTAAACATTTTTTGGCAATTCAAGGATAAACAGAAATTCCAACTGCAGAGTTTTAACAGACATGGGTCTATACATAGGCCAACAGAACCAGACCGCAAAGAGATTCCAATGAATCAGTTAATGGGGATTTTGTCAGATTTGTGATTTGTTTCTACATGGCTGGCTCCACAGAACAATCGAAACTCAGCATTGTTACAACATCTTAGTCAATATCTGCCATGTAAAAGCCCTTTAGAAAAAAACCCAAAGCTTCTTAAGTATCCTCGCTTAATTCTTGTGGCTGAAGTAGGAGCGACATCTACATTTGGATATGCTGTTTTATTAGTTCCATAAATCCACTGAGGAACAACAGTGGTGGTAGTGATGGTGAGAATCAATACTGTGAGACCTGTCTATATACCATGCTAGGCATTATAATTTTCAGAAGTACACCCTATGAAGCAGACCAGTAATAAGTGGGATTAATGGCCATGTAGAGAAAGATTAATATTGCAGGCCTGGTAATGGGTGTTGTACATTACCAGAAATTATATTGCTTGATTAGAAGTTCCAGTGAGCTTAATTGGGTATGTGTCATGTTTAAGATGAAACCAATTGATGCTACTCTTGTTCAGTTCCTCTCACCTCTTTTGAAAGTGAGGTGGAAGTAATTCTACATAACAAACAGTATGACCAAAATACTCATTGTATAAGCAGTATTCAATTTTTTCTTTAAAAAAACCCATAATTCCCCCCTCCCCACTTTAAAATAGACATGCTGAAATGTAAATCCTCCTCCAGGTTCTACCCTTTAACCATCTATTTTATTCATTTATT